GGGTGAGTACCAAAATACTTATTTTTGCAGGTAGTACAAACTCAAAAAGAAAATTGTATTTGTAAATAAACTAAAAAAGTTTAGGATTAGGACGTTAGAGTTAGCATTAGGGTTAGTGTTAGAGTTGTGAGCTTTAATGATAATATAAGTTTTTTATATACAACAAGGTCGATTTAAATACTAATTTTTAAGTATTTTTTCTTTTTTGGTTTTTTTTGTGTTTTTCTTCATTTTGCTTACGTGTTAGGCTAATCTGGAATCATCACATTTTACATTCTCTGATTGGCTAATTTTTCCTTTTGGATTTGTACCCCTGACAAAGCTAGACTTTTATCGGGTTAGCAGCAAAGACAAGATAGAAAGAACCACTTCCAAAACCAATACCTCTTAAATAGCTATTTACAATAAGCTCATACTTACTATCACCCATTCTATCATGCTAGTTGACTAGAGTCAACTGTTTAAAAAATAAGGCTGGGCACGGTTACATACCGTAATCAGATACAGTACCAGTTTCAATCAGTACACATGAATCAGCTCCGTCAAGCACATAACGATCAAAGCCATTTCAAGCATTCGAGCATGAAAAACAAATCAACTATATGTATGCCCAGTATCAGTGATGATCGATGATCACAGAAAATTGTGCATACAACAAATCAGACCAATTATGCGCAGGCCCAACATCACTAACGATCAGCAGCCACAGGACTACACATGAATCACACATACAACAAGCCACCAACCCCTTTCATATAAATACGCAAAATATTAGCTATGAAAACTCTCACCTAAAATTCTATTGAGAAATAATTTTTTGCAATAATAGAACCCAGAAAGAATAATAACACAAACCTTCTTCCTTCGTCACCTATAATAAATACATCTCCCAAACTACTAGTGAATTAGTCGATCTCACATCAACACTAGTTGTCGATCTGTCCCAAATCGACAATAACACCAAAGCTTATATCGACGCAGCCTGCCAATTTTTGGCAAACTCGATCATCGTATCGATCAAAGCATACCTCGACCAATATACAGCAACCCAAACCGAAATAGTTAATAGACTAAACCAACGCATCGACATATACTTCAACCATATTCAACAAGACAAACAACACTTTGAGCTGTACCAAGACGACCCCACTACAACCAAACAAGCATATGAATCCAGTACATCATCATCCCAACAACAACCTTTCGACCCCCAACAAGGAACGTTCTTATCCATGAGACACAACCACGAGTTCAACATTGCTACAACCCAACAACAAACAAAACAGACTGACCAGAACACAGCCTCTTAACAAGGTAATTGCCCACTAACACCCCTCCTTAATAATCTTATTATCAACTCCCCAATTGTACAGCCTAGCACAAACATGACCATCATCTCCTGGGCACTTAGCATGCTGCGCACTAGAGCAACTTTAAGAAAATTCTCTCCTTTGATTACAACAATACCAATCTTCCCCCAGTTTCTAGTTTCACCAATGCCCAGGCCACTCACACTAAGAAAATCAGACTGTGGTGGATCCTCAACTAGTCAGACGGGCAGAAAGCATTAGCAATGCTGCTGAACAAACCACACCTACTGCCACGCCTATAGAAGGCAATTGTAGTTGAAAATTTCGTCAACCTTATTGAGTTCAGTTACAAACCCCTGAAGGCTAATATGAAGTACAATGAAGAGGAGCAAACCCTACAAACTACCGAAGGCAGTCTCATCGCCATCAGAAAATGCAATAGGTCATACTGTTTCAACGACATCTTTGAATAGCTCTTGGCTTTTCGGGCCTACATGGAAGCCATCCTCATTATTTATGAGGACAGGGAGAAAAAGTTGAATGCTTACTGCGATCACATTAACACTTTATGTGTTAAGCACGAATTTTCGGCTATTGCCACTTATGATGAAGATCGCAGACTCCACCTCACCACTAACCGTAACTCCACCCTTTTCGACTGGGACATCGAAGCAGAAGATAAAAACCTAGACATTACTATAACCAAAAAACAGCGCAGTACTTTCACCCCTCGCAATTCCAAATTCGACATTATATAGCATGATGGTAGACAAATATGCATCAACTGGAACCGAAAAGGCTGCCCCAAGGAAACCAACTGCAAGCATATCCATGTGTGTTTGATATACAGGAAATCAGGTCATCCAAAACGTCGCTGCTACTACAACAAGTCCGCTAATCCTAGACAACCCAATTTCCGGAACTAGGAATCGACTAAATAGCCATGTACCCAATACTAAAAAAAAAAAATAATAACATATATATATATATACTTTATAAACATATATCAGTCAGGGAATATGTCACACTGAGTGATAAATTATAATAAAATTTATAATAAAAATATATAAATTTACTATAAACTTTAAGCTCAAGATCGTTTTAAATCTACATATTAACTTATTTTCAAATTTTGAACATAAATATATTGAAAATAGTAGAATAAAATCGTTTAGAACAATTTTTTAAAATTTTGCAAATTTTATACATTTTGCTAATAAAATTTTGCAAAAAAAAGAAATATATTAA